GTTTTCATTCGTACCTGCTAGATAATAGTTTTCAACAGTTCCCTTCTTCCATATATTTTGCAAAATTTTATCACTTTATTTAAATATTCAACTATGACTTAAAAACTGACTTACAGAGATACTTATTGTCAGATGAACATTAGATGATGTTTTAAATAATATTTTATAGAGAAATTGTATATTGGTGAAAATGATTTTTTAAAGGATATATATTAATGAGATTATTTAGAATATTTTTGGTTCGCAATATTTTCTTATATATTTTCACTCAAAGATTTTTTACATACTTATTTCACATACACTATATTGATATACTTTCTTGTAATAAACAATATACAGGATGTCTCACAACTAGTGTAGGTCCCTGAAATGGGGGATAGCTAACGTGATTCTGAATAAGATTTCTCTTTGCAAAAATGGGGTTTGAAACTTCGTTTTTGAATTATAAAGGAAAAACACGGGGGAGTGATAGCTTCGAACCTACAGCTGAGTGCGATCATGAACAAATGCCTTTTCTAGGCTTGAAGCTATCGCTCTCGCGTCTGCGTACGCGTAGTCCTCGCGCTCTGATTGGTCCGTGTTTTTCCTTAATAATTCAAAAACGAAGCTTCAAACCCCATTTTTGCGAAGGGAAATCTTATTCAGAATCACGTCAGTTACCCCCATTTCAGGGACCTGCACTAGTTGTGAGACATCCTGTATACTGGGTGGCCAAGATAAGAGACGCCCTGGACATCACGCGACCCCTCTCGAGCGTTCAATTTAAAAATCACGTACAGCATAACACCGTAACCCTTTTATCTTAGCCACCCAGTAATTTCATTGAATTTTCTGAGCTTCGAAAGCTTCCATCATAATCTTTTCAACTCATATCCTATTCCAGTCTAACCTAACCTACCTCATAACTTTTCTAACTCATATTCCAATTCAACCTAACCTATCGCGATCATGCACAGACAATATAAATTATTGCCCATGTTAATTAAGAACTTCATAGTTAAAACGCAAACATAGAAATCGATACTTTCCAACGATAATCTTATTCGACTAATTGCTTTTGACTCTCGCCACAAAAGAGCGCGGTTAAAGTAGAAAAAAAGCCACGCTAGTCGAACCGAGTGCTCTCGTTCTTTCTGTACAGAAAAGTTTCACCGAGTGAAACCTTGTGACGCCTCTCTGCCTTCCTGTCCGAGCATCGACGACCTCGTTAGATCAATTTGCTAACGTTTTGCACCCACGAGCCGACCGTTATTCCATCGCGGATAAATTGACAGCGTGGGTCGCGCTGAATAAACAGGAAATTAGAAACGTATTCCTGTCCCGCGGTTTCACGCTTCGACCGATTCATTGGCTTCCATTGAAAAATTACGCGTCCAAATTAGCCGAATCAAACGGGCCAATCACGGATTTATACGAACAGAGAACTCGATACTTCGCACTTTCATTGCGGTAAATTCGTTGAAACTTTCCATCCTGCAGGTGCAAAGGCTTCGCTAAATCTGATCTACCGTTTTGACGATTTTTAATCATCCATCTTTCTCGCTACTTTCAACTGTTATAGTAACTTTCACATTGCGATTCAAAATTTGATTAATACTTGTGTATTTTTGATAATTTGTATTTCTAAATTGGCAAATTTCTACATCCTCAAATTCCTCGGCACCAAACTTTAAACCCACACAGTCAGCTCTGAAATTATTAAATCGCGTCCTAGAAACTTTCGAATGAAACCGCGCAATATCACAAAATCAAATCAGATTAATTACATTAGTTTAATTAGAAAGAACCTTCAATATTTTCCAAAGAAAACCTGTAATAGTAAAAGTAACAACCTTTAATATTTATCGATAAAAGAAGAACGACCTTTAATATTTATAAGAAAAGCAACCTTTAATATTTGTCGATAAAAAAGCGACCTTGAATATTTACCACATTAAATATATATGTAGATACATTTGTAAAATCGTTGAAATAAAGTTTTGTGAAATCTAGAAAATCAAAGAACAGAAAGTAAACATGTTTATCGACTCCGTTTATGATTTAAAACCGCTTAACGAACATGTGAACGATAATGAGGCAATTACGGTTTAAGTGGAGTGTTTGTGCCATAAATTTTGTTGAAATTTAAGGCTACCTGCAAGCAAAGACCCTTGATGAAACGAGGTCTCGGCTCGTTCTAATTCCGACTTAAATTTTATCTACGTTAAGTGCGTTGGAGGGCCATCGTTATATCCCGAAGTGAAAAAGAATATCGGTCTTGTTCTTCAGCGCGTTCATTAGTATTCCGGACGGTGCATTTCTAGTGGCCGACTGCGAGACAAGTAAAATGGGTCCCCCAATCATAATTTCATTCCAGATGCAAATACCTGGTCCGCTCTTAAAAGCACGCCAAAAAGGAACGGGAAGAAAATGAAAAACAGTAGCGGTCCGAGAGTCCAGGCGACAAAGTGTACAATCTTTTCTGTTCGTCTGACTAATTGGCGGAAATTCGCGCGAGTGCCGAATACGAATCACGACTGATTTTGCATAAATGATACAATAGAAAATAACGAGGTATTTTGCAAGTATGATTCCGCTCTATATTCTTAGAAATTAACGCTTGGCACAACATTGTTCCAAATTTGAAAAATAATCAGTACTTTACAAATTGGTTAATCACCTTTAATGGATCACCTACATTTTCTTTACCGAGTAACAAAATTATACAGGGTGTCTCACAACTAGTGTAGGTCCCTGAAATGGGGAGTAGTTGACGTGATTCTGAAGAAGATTTCCCTTTGCAAAAATGGGGTTTGAAGCTTCGTTTTTAAATTATTGAGGAAAAACACGGACCAATCAGAGCGCGAGGGTTACGCCCCCTCAGCCACTAGGCTTGAAGCTGTCTCGCGTCTGCGCATGCGTATTCCTCGCGCTCTGGTTTGTCCGTGTTTTTCCTTAATAATTCAAAAACGAAGCTTCAAACCCCATTTTTGCAAAGGGAAGTCTTATTCAGAATCGCGCCAACTTCCCCCGTCCCCATTTTCAGGGACCTACACTAGTTGTGAGACACCCTGTATATATTTTTCGTACTATACTTGTAAAGTTGTATAATCCTGTACATTTACTTCTCTTACGAAATAACAAATATTTTACTGATATTTTGAAAAATTTACAAAGAAACTGTTTCTAATTTTCTTGAAATATAAAATGCAAAACGCAACGTTGTTGAAGGGAAAATAAGAAAACTTGCGGTAAGTCTGATTTTCTTTTCCGTTGAGGAACTTTTCATACACGATTAATGTTTCTCATTAAAGAAGAAACTTAGATAATCTCCACTTTTATTGCCATTAGCTGGATTTTATTTACTCTATTTTACCATTACATTAACACTTGATAAAATTTTAAATCAGTTCATGTATAAATGGATCAAATTTCAAATGATTGTTTTCCGTCACGGTGAGCGGTTCGATTAAGAAACTTTAACGTTTAATTTGATACAAATATGGCGTACAATCTGATTGCGAAACGAATTTATTTAATATACTTTATTAATGTTCAGAACTATCTAATATTACAGAATTTTTTAAATTCGAAAAAAATCTTCAAAGCTTTTGTTTTTATTCATTAAAAATTTATTTAGCCTTTTTGTAACCGTGTCACGAGTCTAATAGATACATAACGAATTTGGAAAAGTGTTTTTACATATGTTCACATGTGTCTATTTCACAGTGCTATTAATATCAGTATAAATAAGCCTCGAGGAATTAAAAAATCAATTTAGCTCGAATATTAATCATGTTGATTAGCACAAAATAATTGGCTGCACGTGCAAGCGAACGTAATTACGTATGCTGACCAACCTAAAGTGAGGAATCTACGCTTCAACTTGTCATTTCGCGACTAGACTTCGAATGAGTTTCCTCACTCGTTCAAGAACCTACACCAACATAGAGCTGCTATCACTATAAACGCATATGCTAGTTATAGTTGACGGTACCGTAAAGGAAACGTGAACAGTAACGTATCTATGTCTGGAAATTACTGACTTTCCAAAGTCACACATTTCTTATGTCGATTCTTTCATTTTCATGTTACATTCCTTTACTTTAAGTGGATCTTCAATTCAATGATATTTATATTTGGGAATTTTCAAATTGTTTTGGAAATTTTCAAACTTTTCTGCTTTCAAATTGGAAATTTTCAATTTCGCAAATTTACATTCTCTACTTTCTAATTTCCAAGCTTTTCTATTTTCAAATTGGGAATTTTAGATTTTTGCATTTCTAAATCCCTAAATACCCTAAATTCCTAAATTCTCAAATCTCCAAATTCCCAAATTCCCAAATTCCCAAATTCCCAAATTCCCAAATTCCCAAATTCCCAAATTCTCAAATTCCCAAATTCCCAAATTACCAAATCCCCAAATCCCAAAACTCCCAAATTCCTAAATCCCCAAATTCCCAAATTCCCAAATCCCCAAATCCCCAAATTCCCAAACTCCCAAATTCCTAAATCCCCAAATTCCCAAATTCCCAAATCTCCAAATTCCCAAATCCTCAAATTCCCAAACCCCCAAATTCCCAAACCCCCAAATTCCCAAATTCCCAAATTCCTAAATTCCCAAATCCTCCAATT